AAAATGTTTTTATTTTTCTGTTGCATTTTATTATTGTGAAGATGTATAAAAATTTATTTGCAGCCTTTTCTTTGAGATACTGAAGATGATGTCTACATGTTATTGATGATGATCATTGAAAAATACTATTTAAAGCTTTCATTACAGAATTTCTCAAAGCAGATCTAGGGGCTATTAACTCACAAAATAATTTTCACCACACAGCACACCACCATAGCCCACACCATAACCACCCAACCATTCCCTACCATAACCACCCAACCATACCAAACACACACATTACAACCACCACATCACAAGACACAACACCACAACCACCCAGCCCTTAGCACAACCCACATCACAACCACCACAACCCACAACTATCACACCATAAACACAATCAACACAACCACCCCAACAATTCATCACCGATAGTAGCAGAAATTCATAACCCCAGCAATCAACCGCCACCAAATCCACAGTAAAGGCTATCACCCCATCACCAATGAAGAAAATCCAACACCAATGCAAAATCAAATGAATTGTAAAAACTAAAATCAGATAAATAGCAAAATCCATCAGTAGTGAACAATCAATCGAGAATCAACGACCGTAAATCATAATGCCAGAAAAAAGTTGGAAGAGAATACTGCAGACCGAAGGAGAGTAAAAAATCCAATAAGAGACGAAGCACATACCACAGATTAGATAGGAGGAGGTGAGCAGGAATCTTACCTTTAGGGTGACGAGAGAGAAGCTCGGTCGCGAGAGAGGGGAGGGAGAAACTCGATTGGCGAGTGAGGGGGTATGTTAGTAAAAAACGGGCTAGTTAATACGAAATGCGGGCCACGAGATCGAACCTGCGGCCCACATTTCGTCGGAATTTATTAAAACAACCACAGCGCCGCATTTTTAAAAAGAACACAAAAAAATATTCACGATTTGGGGTCGGAGCACGAAAAATGTGGCTCCAAACAAACCCTTAGTTGCTAGGTGCTCTTTCTCTATTATAAGATCTTAAATTCAAGCTTAGCACATAAGGGTGTACAAGGAAGTTAAAAACACGGGACATTTACATACCACTCAATTGCTATGTATTTACATATCTAATACCTAAATTTTGTTTTTTACATTAATACCATGTAAATATTTCACATCAAATAAAAAATACCATTATTTTAATTCTTAAAAGGTGAAATACATCTTTTCATGAATGGATAAGGTGACACACATACATATATATATATACATATATTTATTTATTTATTATTTCTAATTATAATCCTAGATGAATATCCACAGTTCTTTACAATCCAAAATAAAAATTTCATTGATCGGAAGTCGATACAAAGGTTTTAGTGTGCGGGTGCTAGGAACCCACTCACAAAGTGTACAAGACTAAAAAAAAAGCTACCCAAAATGGACAAGTATACCCCAAAAATTAGACATCGTGAAATCGTAGAACATTGTCGAGCAAGAGTATAGGAGATCAATCATGATGGGAAGTTTTTCCTTTCCCCCTCCCCCTGGTTCTAAGAATGGATTCCAGTAACAAACTGTGAAGGGGGCTTCCACCCGAGACGGTCAAACTGTCATCCTGGAGATTCTGTAGTTGAAGTATTCCTTTTTTCTTCCTCTTGTATTTTTGAATCTGGCATTCATCTTCCACTTGGTGTTCCAGCTGATCATTTTTCTCACATTGATCACGACATTCATCCAAAGTACGAGTACATTCTCCAACAACAACCAAATTAGAGGGAGTCTCAAGAGGCTTTCTTAGAGGAGGGTTCTTATGAGGTTCGCTGGGAGCAGTATCTGGTAGTGTAGGACTGTTTCCATTGTTAGGAGTGGAGACAACAAACAACTCATCTATCTGGTTAACTTTAGCAAGATCTAAAGATGCCTCTTGGTTAGCATTGTCAGAAATAATATGTTCAGGAATAGATGGTTTTTGTGCATGTTGTTCACTCGTAGGCTTATTTATATCCAATTATATTGGAATAAATGGTTTTAACTCTGGGTGTAATCTGAAGCATTTATCATGCGTTGGACCAAACATCTTACAATGATTGCAGTAGTAAGGACTTTGTTCCATAATGATTTGTTGTTACTAACCATTGTGAGCAGTGTCAAGCCAGATTTCTTCAACATCTAGAAGTGTAATATCTCTCTCTATTAAAATCCTTGTAACAGAAAGTCTTGACAGATTAAAGGTTGAAATGTCTAACTGCATTGGTTTTCTGAGAATAGGCCCAATAGCATATAATACTTGATGGTTGAAGAAGTGAAGCTTAAATTCAGATAATTTAAATCATATAGGCACAATGGGAGGTTCTTGATACTTGGATCAAAGTTAGAGGACAATTTAAGCAATTTCATATACTTGCCCTCATTTAAGATGAATTTCTTCGAGAATATCATTGCATAGTTTTCTTCTTTGCTCAACTGTATCATAACATGTCTTCTATCAAATAGTCTCACATTCGAGTCCCCAACTAGTTTAAAATCTTCAAAAACTTTTCTAATAGTCTTCATCTTATGGTGGCCCAACTTTCCAATCAGTGTAAATTTATGCTTTTCAGCAAAGGTTGAAATTTCAGTGTAAAAAAAAAATTAATGCTGGTTTTGCCCCCCTTTTTTCCAGTTTTTTTTTGTTTAAGAAGTTACAATCTCACTGTCCCACAAATGAATTATGATACATCTGCGGAAAAACCAAACTATCCCCAAGGTGTGAAGGAGCACTGTCTTTATCAACCACTGCAGCGTAGAAGCTTTGCCCACAATCTGAGTAGGTTCAGTCAAAGATGAGGGGGCTGCCATGAAATCAGAGTAACAAAAGGCCGCAAAAACACCAAGAGGATGCGGCTAGGAAAACACCCCAATGCAGGAGTGCAGCCAACGAACACTGCTGCACAAAAGTCACGGCGAACAAAGCACAACAAGGAAACCCAAATAGCATAAGAGAGCCGGGTAAAGCACGAAGCCGCGTGATACAAACGAAAATCGCGGAAACCTGCAAACCCTAGGCCGAAAGGGAAGAAAAAAGAGAAAAATCAAATGAAAATCACAGGAAAAGTGGAAGGATCGAACTATCGTTGCGGTGGAACCCTAGATCACATATGCCGACGCCAGAGCGCTTATATATATATAT